ACTAACTAGAAGCATTTCATGCATGCTTTAAATCTGTACTGGAGGTGGTGCCTGATTTTGGTCAGTGGTTTGGCCTCGTGTGTTCTCCCCTCTATCCTTCTCTGTATAAGTAGACACGTAATTGTATTTAAGGCCGGCAGTAGACAGGCCCTTCGGTAGCTTGCGAATCATGTTGGTGGAACTATGGAATGGGAGGAGCTAACTGGTTGTAGGTTCATTTTTTGGGGATTTTCTGCTTGCTGCAAAGAATTTTCTACTTTCTCGTCACGTGGTATTACAGGTCTTGTACATACATTGCCAATAAAGAAGCAATAATTAAAAATTGAATATATGTATATATATATATATATATATATATATATATGTTTATTTATTAATAAAATTAATTTAAATATAAATTGCATTGCATCAAAATACTGCAAGGTATTCTTGTATTAATGTAATTGTAACTAATAACCAACGTTTTGATTTTCATCATATTATTGCAGAGTATAGTTGTCGCGATATTGATGAAGACGCAACGAAGAGTGCAATTTGCAGATCGGCAGGGTAAAAGCGGACCTTCAATACTCAATAGGGCTATAAAAGCCTCATGTGAAAAGACATTGTTTGGCTCAGCTGCGGCCACTATGCGTCTCCATACTACCAATGTGAGGGATCGACCGAAAGGTGCATCTGAATCAACGGTTGATTAGGAAATTAAGTGGCTTATTCTTCTCGGTGGTCCGAGCCGTTGATCGCGTAGGTGCGATATCGTTCGGATTTGTTTAATCGTCCGTTGATCTTGATACACCTAGTAGTCGGTGCTATCTCGCTAATTCATGTCTCTCTCCCTCCCTCTTTCTTCCTTTTTTTTTGTACGCAATAGATGATCTTATAAAACGCTTTTCGCTGGACACGATGTACTTATCGTTTTAGAGATAAGATTAATCACTCATGTGGTTAAGTGAATATGCACAATTGAATATTGCAACAAATCCCAAAGCAGTAAATTTTGCATGTCATTATTAGGTGTTGGAATTAATTCGTAGCGTTTTACAAGTGATGGGAAGTACTTTCATTAATGTATTTTTTAATGCTCATGTGAAATAAATAACATTCTTTCATTAAAAACGCTACGCTATACTAATATATATATTTGATATACATATATATTTGATACATATATTTTTATATACATATATATTTGATTTTGTATCTAGTTATTCACTTTATGAATCGCTCGACTTTAAATTTAATTTAATAATCGCTCGTGAATTCTTAAGATACGTGCTTTCGAAGCTCCACATAACTTACTAGTCTGATTCGAAACCAGAAAAGGGGCATGATTCCTTCAGGCTGCGTACCTCTTTCATGAATGACGTGATTCATCCGCGTGTATGATGTCGGAACAGGGAATGACACGAGTGTTCACAAGCCGCACCATCCCCTGTACCAACCCCTCCCTGATCGCTGGAAACTCGAGCACGAGTGTTTCACCATTCTATCGCGCCCTAAAATGTACACGGCAAGTGTTTCCTCTGCACGATTCGTGAGTAGAAAACAGAAGTATGAAAGATTTGTGTACCTTGCTAGTAAAGGCGTAGCTGTTTAGGAAAATCTAGAGTACGAAATTTAGTTACATAGAAGAAGTATTCATTATTGAATATTCTGACTATGATATTTATTATATTTATCTCTGTCAAAATCTTTTTGTTATCAATGTAATAATTAACCTAAGTATAAAATAGTTTAATAATTAATATAGTAGTTCAGCAAATTAATTATAATTTGCAATAATTTCTTAAACAAATTATCATATAGAATATTAATAATATTATTTATTTACTTATCTTTCTCGCAGTTTCCTGATAAATTTCGTTTGTCGCTTCGCACTACAGTGGAGGGTCGTTCCCTCTGATCGTCTCTTTCTAAAATCAGGGTGCAATTCAGACAACCGCGGAGCCAGCAAGCGAGCAAGTGTTCCGCCGTGACCAATGAGCCCCTTGCACGCATGTGTGCGCTTCCCAATGCGATATTAATATCGCGATTATCATCTACGTATTATCGCTGCACCCTTATGGGTGGGATGTTCAAAATAAGCCTACGCGGAAACATCCCTCCGCGATCTTGTATTCGCGCACCAAACCGTGCACCAAGCACCCGGTGTGACGATGCACGAGGAGACTGCAAGTGCATTTTGGCCTTGTATACTCAGAAGAACGCAATACATACTGTTCAGTTCTAACTAGGACATTCCTTTTTATATATTAAACAGAAAAACTTCTGATAAAGAGAAACGGAATTAATTTTAGAAAGTAATCAATTATGAATATATAATATTTTTTGGAGATGATATATTTTTAATAATAAATAACATTATTAATATCATACAATATACAGATTTCTTGAATTATATTGTTATAATTATTATGTTAATATTAAATCTTGAACAGTACTCAGCGATATATTTCTTTCGTGAATAAGTATTGAGATTTAAAAAAGAAAATTATATTATTTCGTAATCAATGAAATATAGCAAATTGATACAATGATATATTAATATTATGAACTTTCTATATTATATCGTCGTTATCGATAAATACATTTTGCATACATTTGCATGAAAGTACGTAAACGCAGTGTCGCTAATGGGAGATGTGCGTGCACTTGGAATCTTTTGCCACGGGGAGACGGAACCAATTTCATTGTTCTGTGTCCCTTTACTGCATTCTGAGTTATGATCCTTTGCGGGAGGTCATAAAGATGATTCGTCTCGGTTCTGCAAGTGTCAAAAGTCTAATGCTGCTTCCAACGAGACTGTGGCTTATGTATTATTAATATTCGCTGCGAATCGCGCTAGCTAGGCTGACTAGTTTAGCGAATTTAGCCGGATAAACAACAGTTATCTAAAGATTATCAAGAATTGTCTTCTATAGTATTTTTAAATTTAATTTAAATTTAAATTTTATTTTCATTTATTTATATTGAGTTATATTGAATTTATATTACATTTTGCTACGAAAATATGTTGGAATAATTATTACAATCATGACTTATTAACAATTACTCTAATTGTATAATAAATTAATATTATAATAATTAAATAAGTATATCTAATTCTCTATACAAAATTTTTATATGAACATTTTTGAACAAGGAGAACATTTTTTATTATATTTTAGTAATTTAAATTAATGTAATCGATTTATTTTTAAAGAAACTTTGCAAATTTTTCTACATTACATTCCATGCAAGAGAAGTCAAAGTGCACTTCCGCTGTTCACGTGCCACGTCGACATATTGCTCGTGTCCCGCAGAGTGCATGTAACACGACACGTGACCACTGAATACCCCACAGATATTCTCCATCCCGATCACGCGCCCCGCGTTTGAGGCAGTATTTAACCATTAGGAACTGTTTACTTGATTTTAAGAGTCAATCCAATTCACATGATTGTCCACGGGTAAATATTAAAATACAATAGTGTCTCGTTTTCACTCGAGCCAATAGCCAGCAGAGATATTTTTATAAAATATAGAATTACACGATATAATAAATTTTAAAAATATTTATCACATATTGACGTAAAAGCCGTAAATTAGAAAAGAAAAATATATCTTGCTCGAAAAATCACGTTGACTCGTATTTTTACAGTAGGTGTTTTTAAATTTGCACGTGTCGTATTCGCAGCGAGGAAAAAATCACGTAAAGGTGCAGATGACACGGGTCACATGACAAAATAATGTCGGAGCCCTCGTGGTAGACCAGTCCTGGTGCATTGGACAACTCTTACCCCTCTTCGTTCAGCATTCGGTAGACCGTCTTCTCTCCCTCTCCTCGAAAAACACGATTCACTTGGCACACAATTTTTGTGCATATAATGCACGGTACGAGAAAGCAGTCCCCCTGCTTAATTTAATCCAATACAATATGTCCCCTTGTCTCACTCCGATTCTACCCCTCACCCGCGAGGGCTTAGTTAAAGAGGGTGGGTGGCTTTTTAAAACTGTGCCGATCTCAATTCAGCGTGAAACCTCATCCCATTACGATCGGTCTAATCCTGATTGGAGCGGACAGGTTTTTTATTCTAGCGGTGTATCGGTGGCCTATGATCGTGTCTAAGGGTGAATCTCAAAAATGATCTCTGATGTTCAGTGTATATCGTATCTCAAATGTGTGAATACAAAAGTGCATTGATATTAATGATAAACATATTTTTTAAAATGTTATATTTGGGAATAAGTACAAGAAATACGAAATGTGTATGTGGGGGATGTTAATAGAATTTATACATACATACGTTTTTCTTTCTGGACTTAATATACTTAATTTTCTTCATATTTTAGCAGACTATTAAAAGATCTTTAATTATTTTTTTCAATACAATTAATTTACATGTACGCTTCTTGTTAAAGTCTCTATATTACTTGAAATAATAGTCTGATCTAACTAAATAGCGAGTGTAAAAACACATCCCGTTTTAGTGACATAACATTTGTTACTTTCAATGTAGAAGAAGTAGTCTCAGCTGTGTTAGCTCTTCAGTATGGATTAGTACGATAATCCACAAGAATTAGAAGCGAATTTTAAAACAACTGATTTGGGGGAACATATCTCATCTTGAGATCGTAAGTTATCATTAAAAAATGAAAATATTCTAATTCGACAAAAGTTACTAACGAAAGTAATTTTTAGTAATAAAAAATATACGTATTAAACTCTTTTTATGTTCTTTTATTTATTTAATATGTACTTAAATTTTTGGATCTTCGGAATTACATGAATAAATTATGTCTTAGAATGTAATCGGCTTCTTATTCTCGAAAACATTGTGCAGCGTTTCAATGTTAATCTAAACAGACAAATAAATGACAAATTATATTTTCATATATATTACAATTACATTAATACTGCATAAAAATATTTTTCTTTTACAATGTTGTAATACATATTATATTATAATGCGTATTAAGATCTCAGCAAAGAAAAAAATCTTTATTTAGTAAGATTAGTTTGGGATAAAAATTGATTTTGACAAAGCTTATTTTTATCTCTTGCATCTTTTTTATGTCAGCGAGAGAGATTATACCGCGTTGATTTCGAGAATCGATAATTAATTTCTGATAGGTCTTTCTCGTTACTGTTTGCGATAGGGATCGCGAGCGCTGCGGTGACCTGTCAGAGGGTGTAAACGAAGGAGATGGATTTGTTGCACAGCTGTGTATACTGCTTAATGTAGAAGGTACCGGATTCGGATATTGCTTTTGTGCTGGTTAAGGTAAATCCTGTTATCCAAAAGTTAACTACGTTTTGCTCATTTTCTAACATCATTAATGTTCTGAAAACTGCACGATAATACAATTAACGATAGCAAAAATTATCAAAAAATTATCATCAAACTATCACTAAATATTTATGATCCAATAATAATTTTTATTTTCTACATTTTTGGTTACTATTTCATATTTTAATTTTATTTTAATTTTGTTTTAATTGTTAAATAAAATTTTGCTGAGATTTTAATTTTGATTCTGTCAATCTACATTTTAAATCTTTACGTTGTAAACATATACTGAATATCATACCAAATTATCATGCTAAATTGCGTTTTCTGCCATGGGTGATTCATAATTCACGAAATCGCTATCAGTTTCACCTCCTTCCAAATTATATACGTTTGCTAATTTCTTATTTCTTGAAATATCGTATTCTTCATCAAGCTGCATGTACGGTTGCGCGGGTGATTCATAATTCACGAAATCGCTATCAGTTTCACCTCCTTCCAAATTATATACGTTTGCTAATTTCTTATTTCTTGAAATATCATATTCTTCACCAAGCTGCCTGTACGTTTGCGCGCGGTTCTCCAAGATTTCTTTAATTATTTCTGTAAAATGATCGTTGTACATTTGCATATACAGTGCTCATCGGAAATTATAATAAAGATAAATCTCTTTTTTATGTTCGATTTTTTAAAATAAAATTTGAAAAAGTATGAATATTTTTTTTTTTAAATTTTACTTTTCCAAAGCTCAGCCTTACCCATTAACAATTCTCTGCTTTCAATCATGTTACCCATTTCTTTTTTGACTTCTTTCATTAACCACGGCATGAAACCTTCTTCGACATCTGAAAGTCATATTTATGGCACATTATTGTCTAAATAAAGAACAAGATGATTGAGCTGAAGAAAGAAAAAAAAAGGAACAAGAGCTTAAAGATAAAATCGATAAATGAATAAAAATTAAGGAACTTTTATGGTTATTAAATTTGAATAGATTATTACGAACCAGCCTTAATTTCATCCAGTAAATAGCCAGACATCTTCAGACCTTCTAGAACCGCAGGTAAAAGTTCGGCAATATATCCTGTTAACAATACTGCAGCCGCGACTCGTTCCTCAGTCTCCTTTTGAGCTTTCATCGCCTTTTCATGTTGCTTCATGCGTTGCTCCTGCAGATTGGAAATTAATTTGCTTTTTTACATTTTAAATATTTTCTCTTTATTTATGATAAAATAAAGCAAATAAATAGAGAACTTAAAAGTGCCGAAATATTAAAAGATCAAAATAGAAAATCGATACCTTCTCCTCTCTACGTCTTCTATCTTCTTCCGCTAATCGTTGCTCTTCAGCTTTCTCAGCCATGCGCAATTCGAGGAATCTTCTCTGCTGCTCCTTAAGAGCAGAGATTTCCTCTTCTTCCAGAACTTCGATTAGGGCTTGTTCAATAGTCTTGCCTACCAACACTTCCAAAATCGGTTGGACTTCAGTGTCGTAGTCGAAGAGCTGGAAATATCGTACAACATTTACTCTATAGACCGATCTGATCATAATGTGAAACATCATAATCTATTATGATAAAATATTAAGAGCACGTACTTCCCCGGGTTCGATTTGCGTGCCAACGTCTTGACCAATTTCGCCTAGATAATAGTTTGGTAGTACTGGTTTTTCCAAGAAGTAATCGGTCTGTGTGGCTACTTCGGATTCGTCTGGTTTCTCTATCAGCTTGAATGTACAATATGTTCAGTTAAACATTTGACACAAACTTCGCTTGCCTTTATGAAAAGTACAATAATTAGTCGATAATTAAATATAAAAAATAAATTTAATTAACCTCTTCGAGAAAAATCTCCGTTTGCACCGGTTCGTGTTTTCTTCCAGCAACCGGAGGAGGCGAACCCGGTCTAACGACTCCGCAAGTTTGCATTTGAGCACGTTTCCTTGCCAAATGTCTTCGTCTTGCTTCTGCTTGTCTCGCTGCTATCGATTGTTCCCTATCGATCTAGATAAATACGAATTTTATGAGAAATGTTAAATTGATTTTTTGTTTCGAAAAATTAGTGAGGTGCTTACAAGAGTAGGAATGGAAGCGCATGTGCTTCCTCGAACCACTCGACGGTCAAACATAATATTCCCGAAGGGAATTGAGTGATCGCTGTAAAATAATGTTATATTTATAATAAGACTTATTTTTAATAACACTAAACAAATTTAAAAAAGCTTAGCTGAACATATTGAGTAATAATAATTATTATTATTACGAAATTCGTCGCTTTTAGGCAAACATCGACAAACTTTGCAAAATAATTTATATTTTTAAAATTAGATATATAAAGCTATAATAATCTTAAAGCTATAATTGTAAACATATAATTAATTTTTTATGACTATTTCAAGTTATATTAGTTCATTTTTAATTTATTTCATCAATTTTTTTCCAATTGATAAAACATAATATTTAAATTAAATCATAAAAAATTTTTAATTATTTCGTCAATTATTATCAAAATTATTATTAATTATTAGGTGTTGGAATTAATTCGTAGCGTTTTTAATGAAAGAATGTTATTTATTTCACAAGAGCATTAAAAAATACATTAATGAAAGTACTTCCCATCACTTGTAAAACGCTACGAATTAATTCCAACACCTAATATATTTTATTCTAATATTTAAAGATTTATAATATATATGTGTATAATTAATAATAATTTAATAATCGATAATAGTCGATGAAACAATTTCAAATTTTCTATGTAATTGAGTTAAAATAATTCTGTGTGTATGTACATATCATGTATATTCATATACATGATAAAATAATTATATGTATATCATTTTGTGTAATAAAAATAGGTATAATAAATAATATGCGTGTCACTACGCAGCAAATTATAATGTAGAAAAAACAATTTAAATTATCTGTAATAAAAATTATATTCGTGATACATTTATCTATTCATATTTGAATGAAGCATGTGTTTCAATCGCATAGCAATAAAATATCACGGATATGTCTACGATCCGATGTCATAATTTGAAATATACGTTTAAAATTTAAATCCAGTGGATCCTAAAGTGACATTTTAGAGTTAATTATTGCTGGAGAATAGTCATTTTAATCTCATTCTTGACGAACACGACTTCTATTCTATGGATAGTCAAGAATGGGGTGCACTAGGAGCGACGACAGCCTAAAGAGAAATTCGAACGCGACCACAAACGCACGAGAATAAATCAGATCGACGAGAAGAAAAAAAGCAGGGAAAAAGCAGCTGCTATCGACTAAAAGACCAGTGATAAGTGTGGTGCCACTTGTAAAGTGTTTTCGTTACCCGCGAAGTCTCGGCAGCATATTCATCATGCCCTCGATCGGTTCCAACTTTTTTGGTAAAGCTCGCGGCGTCTGCGGGAATCTGCTAGAAAAACAATTCCCGCTCTTCTTACATTTTTTTTCTTATTCTCGGCGTGCCTTTCATTATTTTTATTCGCGCGCGTTAATTGAATTCATAATTCGTATTTTTCTTTTTAGAACAAAGACATCTTTCATGCTTTTAAATTTGAAATGTAAGCTCTTTTTGTAAGTTGCTTAGTAGGCCGATCGATTATATTCCAGCAATGTCTATTTTTTTTCGTAAATATTTAATGTTTGAGAATGACATAAAATTAAAGTAAAATGCATATTGCGATTTACATTTATAAAAATACTTGTAATGTAAAATTTTTATATCGTCATTTTGAACGATACGAAACAAATTCAATGGAAACAGGAGCTGATGATTTTTTCGTGATTTGAGATTAATAATTATTAAATGTGTCCCTAGTAATGATTAAATAGAAGGTACTAAAAATGACAATCCTATTTCATGTAATACAATTAAAAAAAAAAATCGACAAATATTTCTGTGAATATAATATTTTTCTTAGTATTATAGCGAGATTTTTGTGAGCAAAACATCATGGCAGATTTTTTTCTCTCTCTCTTTCTTCTCTTTCTCTCTTTCTGTAAATCGCCCCTGATTGTAGGGAGACAATCACACCGACATGCCAAATGAATGGCGTTTGTAACGCGATTGTGCTTCGTCATTTCAGCATCACTTACGTCAGTTCACTCCTCTTGAACCTTCTTGCCTGCTCGTTCAAGGTCGAGGCGGTGGCGATGGTGGTGGCGTTCATCATGCCGAGGGAAAAATCTACGGTGGCCTTTAGGGCGGCTGGACATCTGGCATTATGGCTATTGTGACGTACCTCCGGTCTCTTGGCTAACGATACCAATGATTTGAACCTGCTCTTCAGAGGACATCCGTCTACGGCCTCCTCCTCCTCGTTCTTTCCGCTGGGCGCTATGCCGAGCAAGGCCGCCACTTCCGGTGGCGGCATTAGAAATTCTCCCGTCTTCACGGTCGTGATGAAGGGCTTCTTCTGCGGTAGGATCGATTTCTTAAGCGACTTGCGGCCTTGCTCGGCCTCGGCTTGCTCTTGGATTTTTTTTAATTTCGCGTTCAACACCTCATTGAAATCTTCCGTTGATAAGACAATGCTAGGTTTAACCGTAGGTGGTCTGTCCTCAACTAATGTTAAGCTATCTTGACTTCTACTTTGATGTTTTTTCTTCAGAGGATTGGCTTGATTCGATTGTAGACTAGCCAAGACCAGATGTTCGTTGGATTTGCTGATACGTCTGCGATTACAGAAGTTATTCTTCATTGCGTTCTTCATGTTTTCTAAGTTGATAAGTTGCGACGCATTCATCTCATCGTCTTCGTTGACGTGTAAAAGAGGCAAACTCGAGTCCAGGCCATCCTTCTGTAAGATTGTAAAGGCCGGCGGATCCTTCGCTTCATAATCGAAAGATTCCGCATCCGTCGACGGCGCCAGAGTCGAAATACCAGCCGGCATCCTTCTAATTTCTTCAGACGTCCGATTTTGCGGCGGACATGATGAATTGGTCGAAGAGAATTAAAATCACGCGTCGTGTTTAACTTTTCGAGCGCTCCCCTTCAAAAATGTAAATATTACATTTTATTTGAATGATTTTGCTCGTTATAAGTTTATATTATGCAGAAGGAGGTAATTGTGCCATGAAAATTTCTAAAGTTATTATCTCAAGTCTCAGAAGTTTAGTCTATTGATCGTTCATTGATTGTCCGTATTTGCTAAGTGAGAACATAACATAGTAACTGAAACATGAACGTGGCGTTCGTAATTATATCTTTAATTATTCACTGATGAAGTCACGAGAGGACTATAAGCAAGATTGTCTAATTATGAAATATGAATAGCAGTTTTGCAGCAATTTACGATGAAAAATCATGGTGAGAAGAAGTTTTTTAATCCTGATAAAAATACTAAAATACGAAAATACGAAAATTTTTATAAATTTAATTAAGAGTGTGATGATAAGATATGATGAGTGCAATATTATACATATGTATATTATTTACGTACCTCGTTTGAAAACAGCTTTTATTTTTATCATTACCAGACGCATATTATTTTAAAGTTTCCAAGTTATAAATAAAAAAATATCTCACATACTCGTGTGTTTTGTTACAAATAAGTGCAGAAAGTGTTCGCGTATTCATAATATTGAAGTGAAAACTCTTCGAAATTATATTGACTTCAATTCCCTCACAATCGGTTTACATTAATACGTACTATATCAAAACTGGCGCCAAACCGGCGGTTTTGTTGCCCGCGAAAGACCGAGGAAAACGTCGTGACTGTTCACCGAGTATAGCCGCGGTATTACTGACTCTGGCTCGCGGGGGAGTTCAGAGACTGGACAATGTCCTTAGAATCGACCGCGTATAGACCCCACAGGCCAAGTTGCACATATATCTTCACGCGACCGGCCACTCAATAACGCTGACCATTGCGAACGTTGCGCATGCTTAAGTCTACCGAAGGGTGGAATATTGTCGGGGTTCTACTTGTCTAGGGAACCTGTTCGGAAACTTCCAACCCTAGCAACACTTCAAGGTGAAACCGCACTTTTGATCGCCTCGGTTTGTCGCAAAAAAAAACGCTTGGCAATCGACTCATGTTCTAAATAAGTACAAGCATGCGATTCCTTACTCTCTCTTTTATACTTTTTTTATAAAATTAATAAATTATATATACATATATATATATACACATATGCGTTTTTGTTACCTTGTCGAGGTTTCTTATTTTTTGAAACACCCTCGAAGATATATGGCTCGTTGCTTTGGTTTATAACAGTAGTTATTTATTAATGCAAGTGTACGTATGTGTATGTGCGCGCGTGGTAAAGTGTAAGTAGAAAATGAATTACGAGATGAGTAAGGCATTTTGTTACCAAACGACTTATGCAAATAGTATACATGAAAATTCAGATTCAGAGTATAATTAGACTTAATATGAATATGAATGATATTTTCTA